TATAGGGTTGGGAAACGTTCAACAGAACTGTTTCGTTATAATTTACTTCCTCCGGAAGTCATATTATTAGTTTCTATTATTTTTTTGGCCAATAAATTATCAAAACTGGAGTTGACCAGTAATCTATGTTTTATTAATGGTTGCACTCAAGACCTCAACAGACTAGAAGACTAGGTAGAATTTTGTAGAGCAACACCAATTAAAGTTTAAATGTACAAGCAAATCTTAATGTGTGAAGGTTACTTTTTCTTGATTAATTCATACAAATTTATACTAAAATTACAGGATAGGACATGTTCTATCTTTCTTGTTGTATAGACATCCCAAAATAACAGGTGACCCCGATGGTGTGTTTAATGAATGAATTTCCTGAAAAAATTATGGCAAAATTGTAAATATTTAGTTAGGTATGATAAAATTTATGTTGAAAAACACTTGGGTAGCCCCCCTTCCCCGAGTTGTAGCATGTTCGAATCCCAAATAAATAAGAAAATTATTATAGACTAAAAAATATGTAAAAAAAAATGGAAGAGTTTCCATCATTACTTCTGAAGGAAAAATAGTTCATTACAGTAAGACCAAAATATAGAAGAGGTTTTAGGGTTCTCAAATATTCTATTAATTTCAGGAATGAGGATATGGAAATTTCCTAAATGCCCCTATGCGATCCAGGTCTAAACATATTGGTCTACCTTTGAATCAATCGTCGTAATTGGTCAACACCGAAAATTGTAATATTTACTTATATTCCAGTAATAAAAGTGGGTAAATTCTGCAAGGGACCCACTTTGAGGAATTGATTTGTCAGGAAACCTGAAGTGTTGTATTGCTCTGAAAATTGTATATCATATCTTTAATTAGTGTTGTACTCTGTTGAGTAAAGCAGAGTCTTTCAAACACTGGTAGTTAAACACGAAGTAGACACATACATGAAACATGCTGGAATAAAACTAATGAAAGATAAATGTTTGCTCAGCACAAGATTGAAAAAAGGATAGTTAAGAGAACTATTCGGAAGGGTGCAGCTTATGGCTGATACTGTTTTTGAAGGTTTGACTAGCTGCCGATGCCAATATTAGTCTGTTTCATAGACAAATACCTACAGGAAAGAATGTCGAAATGTGTCGGGTGGGAGTTGTCAAATAAAACAAATGTAAAGTTATAGGTCATAAAAATTTATCTTAGTTTGCGTTACTGATGAGGTAACCAATAACGTTATTTTATTGGAGTAAGTTTTATTGGCAATTTCTTTGTCATTTATTTTGGAAGATTTTGACATTTCCTTTCGATAAACCTACTAAGCTTATTTTACCTCAAGAATTATATTTCAGTGTATTTGATATGCGATTGGTCCAGAAAAGGTCTTTACTTAGTATACCTATATGTCTAACAATCACTGTTGTCTTCAGTTATTGAACATGAAGTGTATATCAAAAAAAAGGACCGGGGGCTTTTTATTTCTTTTCTTTCTTTCTTTCTTTCTTTCTTTCTTTCTTTCTTTATTTATTTATTATACTTTTGTGACATACATAGATTTCACATGCATATGCATGCACCCATTTCATATCAATACATAATTATATCAAAACACATAATATTTTGTGAATGTTTGTCTTGTATTTAAATTTTGCTTAGTATGTCATTTTTTATAAAAATAGAGATTTTACCAATATATTAGAAACGAGGGTTTAATGTTTAATAAATGATAATGTTTTAATGTTGATGGTAGAGTACTTACTATATTTTAAAAGGAACATTTCTTAAAATGGTACTCAACCATGTTTGGAATAATTGCAATTTCTTTTTCGATAATTTTTAATATGAAAGAAGGGTAACTTTTATTGTTGTTTTCTTATCTGTGTTGAAAAATGAAAGATTTCATTAGAAAAATAATAAAATTTATACGACTCTTCTCAAACCGTAATGCAAAACACCAAAACTTATATTATTAAGCTGAAAAGAATAGGTATTCCGTTTCAATTTCAAACAGTTCCTAATCTATTCCACATTATTTCAACATAATGACATTCTCAGAATAGATGTTTCATACTTTCAGGCTGCATGTTACAACAAGAGCGATCAGTAATCACATGTGTCGCCTCATAATGGCCAATTTCATGTTGGGACAAATTTTGTGACAGACGGACAGACAGACGGACAGTGCACAACTAGACTTGGTACTGATCAATCATGTAAAGTTTGGATAAAATTGCACCAGAAGCTTATGAGGAGTAGTCCGGACAAGCTTTTGCCTATCTGGCAACACACAGAAAAAAACACCTTTTTATCAAAGGGCCATAACTCAGCCAAAAATCATTCAACCGGAAAACCCGTGCAATATGCGCAAGGACTTGAGCTACAGATCAATCCTGTAAAGTTTCATTGAAATTGCATAAGTAGGATAAAAGAGAACTAGTCCGTACAAACATTAAAAAAAAAATATTAAAGGGCCATAACTCTGACAAAAATCATTGAACCGGAAAATGCTGACAATAAGCACAACTAGACTTGGTACTGATCATTCCTGTAAAGTTTGGATGAAATTGCACCAGTAGTTTATGAGTAGTAGTCCGGACAAGCTATTGTGTATCTGGCAACACACAGAAAAAAACACCTTTTTATCAAAGGGCCATAACTCGGCCAAAAATCATTCAACCGGAAAATCCTTACAATATGCGCAAGGACTTGAGCTACAGATCAATCCTGTAAAGTTTCATTGAAATTGCATTAGTGGTATAAGACAAGTAGTCCGGACAAACTTTAAAATTAAAAATTATTAAAGGGCCATAAAACTCTGACAAAAATCATCGAACCGGAAAATGCTGACAATATGCACAACTAGACTTGATACTGATCATTCCTGTAAAGTTTGGATGAAATTGCACCAGTAGTTTATGAGGGGTAGTCCGGACAAGTTTTGTGACGGACGGACGGACAGACGGACAGACAGACAGACGGACAGACAGACGACGGAGAAGTGATCCCTATATGTCGCCACTACTCCGTAGAGGCGACACAAAAATCACACAAGTTTATACTCGACAATTTCATTTTTCAGAGATATTTTATTTGTTTTGAATTATTCGCATTAGAAATTTAAACTGAAATGTCCTTATTTTGGTAAAACAGTAGCTTTTCAAAATTGGGCTTTTTACTAATTCCATTTTTATATCATTATTTTCCAAACATTTTCCTATTTATTTTTCAAATTGAATTGATTTTGGTTTAACCGTTCTTTGCTTCGTATATATAGTAAATAATTTGGTTGTTTTTTTTTTTACTTAGGTCTTTTACTAGAGTATATATATTTTTTACTACACTATATATATGATATTTTCATCTTAAAGAATTTGTTTTTGCTTTTGATTTTTGCTTGTGGTGATTTGGTAGAATTTTAGAAATGCATTGTTTTTTTTAATTATATAATTCTTTAATATGCTCAAAGAAGTAAAAAAAATCCTACTGTGCTAGATATTTAATACCTTTGTCAAACCATTTGCTTTTATATAAAAAAAGAGTAATACCAAATGAATTCTTATCTTAAAATTGATCCATATTTCTTGCTTTCCAATTGTTTCATTTAATTTGTCAAATTTGATACTATACCATGCAACAAGAATGGCTGTAAGAAAAGTATTGTGTTTACAAAATTGTTTGATAAGTTTATTATCTATTTTACGTCCCCTCCTGCTTATTCAAATGTTTTATTGTAAAATGTATTCCAAAGCACACTTTCATCATGAGACAGGAAACTTTTGGCTAAGCATGCTTTGATATAACTTGAAAAAAATATTTATCATTTAAAGCCCTTTATCTTTTATTCTACACTGCCCTACAGAAATTCCTTCACACACTTTGATATGAACTTGAAAAAACATATTTATCATTTAAAGCCCTTCGTTTATACATGTAATTGTAATATATCTCTTTTTATATTTTTTTTCTGTTTGTAATTCCATATAAAATTATACTGCAGTATAGGTATTTTGTTATTTTTTTTAATATTATATATATCAGACGGGTTTGTCAAAACAGTAAAGGGATAAATAAGTTTTGGTAATGCAAACGTTTTCATTACTGTGATTTTTCGTAATATTTAGTCAGTTTTCTATGTTCCCTGTGTTTTAAACAATTTTTAGCTTAGGTTGTAAACTGAGGTCTATGTATTTAACGTCGTTTGAAAAGTTGAAGCCTAGTGTTTTAGCAGATTCATTTAACATATTTATCTTTTCAAAATATGAATGTCTTCAAGAGACCGCAATCTTAAAATAGTAGATTTAGTTCAAATTAAGTTTTAGACCTGATACATATTCAAACTTTGTAATATTGAGGAGTTTTTCCTTGACTATTTTCCAAATAAACCTCTATCTTAGTTGTAGCTGCTGAATAGAGGATAAATCATAATGAATGAGTGTAGACTTAATATTAATTCAATTGAACGAGTTAAATAAAATCATATTAATTATGCGAGTCTCTAGGATTTCATTTAGATACCCACTAGAAAATGTTTCGAACTAAATATCTAAGCTCTATCTCTTTGGTTTTTTTTTTAGAAGATTGTCAAGCCTTTTTTTTCGGATGCCATGGCAACCAGAATTTAGCATGAAATGGAATTCTTTGAACAAGTTTTAAAGAGCTTCATGCCAGGAACATTCCTGCTCAGTTTTAACAATATTTGTCTATCAGTATAGATGTTTTTTAAGAGTATTGCAAAAGATCACTCTTGAACAGTTTAGGTTAACGCTAACATTAGCACGCTTTAGAGATATTTTTGTATACAATTCAACGTTAAAGATTTATTAAACTAGTGTAATTTCATTTTTTTTAAATAGCTTTATAACACTTCTGTGTCATTATATTATACACAGCATTAATATGTCAAAAATGTAAGACATTGACTGTCACTAGAAATATGTATTTGTAAGCTTTTCGTACATAAGATTATCATATATACCAGTGAGGTGAAAACAGAACAAACCGTATTTTACAAAAATTACAATTTTTTATTATTACACGAACGTCAATAATGGGAGTACATAGAGGATAAGACTTTATACAATAGTAATGTTTATTAAAAAAGAGTGTGACTAAAAAAAGGATTGGAGCACCACACTAAATACCGTATTCCGGTATATACCGGACAAGGCGCTTGAACTATAAAATGCTAAAATCTTGCTTTTTGACCCAACGGAATGAGCTTTAAAACGTCTAATTCATCTTTTCACACCGATTCATGTCAGATAATGAATGAAAAATGTAAAAATCGGCGAAAAAAACGATATTTGTCTATTTTGTGATCATGATTTCTGCAAGCGTCTACAGGTACTGCTCCAATCCTGTATTGAATTAAATCCATTAAAAAAGGGGGTTTAATTCCTCATTCAGAAGGGTTAGTGTAAAATCGTCGTAACTCGTAAGACATACAGAGATACAACCATTTTGCCTCTATCTCACACTATAGTTTATCTCTTTCTAAAACAGAACATTGCCCCCAAAAAGCTCTAAATATACAATACATGTATCAGACATAACACCATCATAAACTCAGAGAAACATGTTACTTTGTTTTTATCAAATGGTGTACCTTTTCTTTCTTTTCTGAAATTTTAGTAGCTTATCTTTTACCAAAAATTAACAGGTCATTTAAATTCCATATGGCTCTTTCAAAATAATAAGGTGCCTATTTATATTTATTTTGTCATTGGATAAAAATATGGCTAAAAAAAGTGTTTGCCCCATGTAGTTGGGTAAACTATCTTATATTCTCTTAGTTTATAATCATGATAAATAAGGTAAACAAAACATGTACATGTATCAAACAATGGTTACAATACATTCACAAAACATGAACGGAGCTAACTACAATCTACAATTGTTTAAGTATGTATTTACATGTGATTCAAACTTACAAAAAATGTAGAAAATTGCGTAATTTATTGCTGCCTTTGTATTAGTTATAAAAATGTCTCAAAATATACCTGAATATAATCTTTGATTTTCACCATAACTGAACACATATACATAACACACATATGAACTGTATATATAACATATAATCTGATTAAAGTAATGCATTAGGATCTGACAACCACCAAAAAAATTGTCACCTTGTGACCTTTCCAACAGCCTATCATCAGCGATATTTAACAACTTTGAAAGCAATGCCGTTTCTAATTTTAATCACTGGAAAACCAATACTGAGTATTTAATTTTTACGATTTTGAGAACAAACATGGCATTGTTGTACATATAGCCGACAGAACAATCTTGCCTATTGAAAATTGAGTCTATAATTTCCAGTTTATTTGCAAACCTTTTTTTTTCTAACAAAAATCAACAATTTGGTTTACTTCCACGGACAACGATATTTTGATACTTCATCTAATGCCTATAATGTAAAGGACGATTTGATTGTACGACTAAAAAAACGATTTCTGGTGAAATCCGAATCACTATGAAGGCGAAACAAATATGGTGGTAATCAGATCTATATGCAAGAAATAACTCGTATAGATCTTAACTTTAGTCAGATTGATATAAAATACACACGTGTGTGTTATTTATCATTACAGTAACTTACTATACGTAACAATTATACATTGATGGCTATGTACAGATAAAAATGTCTTCAAAAGCAGCATTCCACCGTATAGCCAAAATATTTCAAGAAAAATTAAACATGACAAAAATGATTTTAAGAAAAGTAAAGATTTAAGATCCAAGTTATAACTTTGTTTTGTGCAATTATGGACTAAAATTGTATTTATCACTAACTCAGAAAGGTTCATTTATGCTTATTTTGACCTCTTTTTGGTAAATATACGTCAACTGCAATTGCTGTTTGCAATGTGTAAATTATTTTCTTTGTTCACTTCACAATATTTTAAAGACATTTTAAAATTTTCACGAAAATTTGCATAAATCTAGAGGCACGCTGCTTTAACCTAAATTAATTTACTAAAAGCTCCATGAAAAAACTCATACAACTCTGCCTGAAGGCCTACATGTACTTAAGCAAGACATTGACATATTGAAATATATACATGTGTACTTTTATGACAAAATGGCACTAAAATATTAAAGTATATGAAAATAAATTTATCATATGTCCTTTGTTTACATTTTTTTTTCTTCTTCTTGAAAACAACATAACTTTACCCTTTATAACTTTTAGAGAAATATTTAATGAGATAAAGTTTTATACCCATTAACAAGATAATTTTCCAAGAAAATATATAAAAACCCAATCATTGTGAAAAGCAGTTCAAGATTTTTGTACAGCAGTTTAAAATTCTCTTAAATACTTCAAATTATACACGTGATACATCGATACTAGCAAATAAACCAACATTTTTATATTGTCCACTTTTTCATGGTCATTCTAACAAAATATATTATCTAACTACAAGTGATTGATGAATTACCTGAATTTTCAAATCTTGCTGCCTTTTTACCTAGAGCTTTGGGTTATCTTACTCTTTTGACTTATTTTTCCAGAATACAATGTAACTAAAGTGTTGGAGCACCACTCTTAATGCTGTATTCAAAGAGCTTAAACGATTAAATGCTAAAATCTCGCCTTTTCCTCCACCGAAATGCACTTTAAGACGTCAAATGCATCTGTTCACACAGATTTATAATGAATGAAAAATGTAAAAACCTGTGTAAAAAGCAATATTTTTCTATTTTGTGATCATAGCAATATTTTTCTATTTTATGAAAATGATTTCTGCAAGTGTCTGAAGGTACTGCTCCAAGACTGTAGTGAGTAATTGAGTTAAATCCACTATATAATACTTTGATAATTGCTGGTTGCTCATGTAATTTCTTTGGACTATCATTAACAAAAATACCAAAATTATTTTTCCAACTATCTCCATGGTAACTTTGGAACTACTGATAAGAAAAATTTTACAAATGAGATTAACTTTCTCCAAGATTATATTAAAAAGAAATTAATTCGTCACTAAAAAAGTTATGAATGCAAGAATCACCATTGAAACAGAAAATTAATAACGATTAAATGTATATAGTTTCATATAACTGATTGCTATTAAATATTGTAACGCAATAATTTGTAACAATAATACAATTCAAAGAAAAAGGAAGACTGTTTAAGAAGGTCGGATAATGATATTCCTCCCAGACCCTAAATCTACAAGAGGCAGTGGTTATTTGCATAATTTTTTAAAGCTCATATGATGGAAATTAACAACAAATTTCATTCAGCAGTTCAATTGGATTAAAAAAATAGACAGAAAATATATGACCGCACAAATATCAAATAAAATAGTTTTGACATTAAAAGAGCACTCAGGTATTAAACCATGACAGTTTCAAAATAAACATTTCAATTAGATTTAGATCTGAGATTATATTCCGACTGTGTCCCGGCGTCTCTCCCCCAGAGAATATACAAGCCGAGCATCAGGATAACCAGCGGTAGCATTCCTGCATGCATGATTAGTGTTTCCTGATGGCTGAATAGATCGTCCTTAAAGTAGGCCACGTTTAAACTGATAAAGTAAAACACCATAGTCTGAAAATACAAAATATAACATTATTAATTTTAAAATTCATAATACTAAGCAATTTTTAGTCTTTATACAGAACTGGTTCGTTTGTTCTTTTGATTGGGTTTTTATGTCACACCAACACAGTATAGGTTATATGGCGACGCTCCAGCTTTACTGGTGGAGGAAGACGTCAGGTGCCCTTCTGTGCATTATTTCAGGCATGAACGGGCACCTGAGTAGAACCACAGACATTCCATAAGCTAGCTGAATAGCTTCCTCACATGAAAGAATCCAAAGTCCCTGTCAGGATTCCAACTTGTAGCAGTGAGGAGCAAGTGGTTTGAAGTAAACGACCTTAACCACTCGACCACAGACTGGTTCATTTCATAATGTCAACATTTTAAGGCATTTTCTACAATAAAAACAAAATATTATTATTTTTATAGTAGTTCATGAAAAAAATCAGATTTAAAATTCAAGTATCTTTAAGACAATTAATTTTGTTGGTGTTGGCAACACGTTAAAACTTCAGGGACAGTTTCCTTATTAACAAATTCCTTAATAACTTATAATTTTTACAGTAAAACATAATATCTCCAAGTAAAAACATCAATATTTTTTACTTCTATGCAACAAATTTTGCAAGAGTTTAAATTACATGGCATTCACAAAATAATACAATAAAGCACTGACAGTAATCACTAATAACCATAAAAAAACAAGTTTTCCCCGCACACTCCACTATTTTCAGTGCTTGATAGTCAAACAAGAGCTAAGTAAGACATTTCTAGGTCAACAAAGGGGAACAATTCAGGAAAGAGCCATACTACAGTTATGGATCATGGTCTATGACCTACAATCATGATGCCTGTGGAAATACTTACAACAAGAGTTGATAGAAGGAGGGAGCTTTTGTCATCATCATATCTGAAGCTGGGTGCGTATAACGCTAAGAATGAGCATCCAAAGATCAGAGCACCTGTACACCTTACTGCTAGTGACTCCATGGGAGCCAATTTCTGTAATGTTGGGAATAAATACATGAGAATTATAATTTATTACAACTTTTAAGGCACAGTACCATGAATTATCATTACCAAGAAATGTTCAAGTCTCTGATGGGATTGGTACCCACAGCAGTGAGGGGGAGGTGGTTTGAAGTAAATAACCTAAACAGGGTTCGTACAGACATCCAATGCCAAAATTCAAGGACTTTTTAAGCACTATTTAAGCATGTTTTCCCATTTTTCAAGCACATTTGTTGCACATATACCGACACATAATCTTCAACCTATGATGGATAGTTTGTTCACCATTTTTTGTTAAATACACATTTTCTTACATTATAGAAGAACAACTAAGGGTGCATCAAGTACAGATTAGTTCAAAACAACTGCAATTTGTCCATTTACCGTTACCTTGAGTAAACATTTCATTGATTTTGATACTAAATTGGATCTTTTTTTTTATTTTGTTAACCATTGATTTTTATCAAAACTATGTCATTCTGTGATTCAAACATTTTCAAGCACATTTTTAGCAAATTTAAGCACTTTTCAAGAGAGTAATCAAATTCAAGGACTTTTAAGCCTTTTTTTACATTTTAAAGCACTTTTTAAGAAAGAGACTCAAATTTAAGCACTTTTTAAGACTGTACGAACCCTGCTAAAGCACTTGGCCCCGTAAGTCAAACATGTTATTATATCATTCAGTTGGTATGGAAAATAAGCATGTTTTAATTATAATTTGTCTCATCATCTTATATTGCTCTACAATAGTTACACAGTGACAAATTTGTACACAAAGCCTTCGCTGCAAAATTTATTTACACTGAATTTTTTTTAAGACTTATCCACATTTACATTGAATGATGACATCAAGATAAGACATAATTATGAATTCATGCAAGATCCTCAATGACAAATGCAAAATTTATATCAAGTAAAGAATAAATTGATCTGTTTATGTATTACAGTATCTACTGAAATTTACAGGACAGCCAGTGATTTACCTTGAATGGAATGACCCAGGATGGGAAGGTCATGTCACACAGTCCTGCCATAAACATTAAGAGGAACATCATTCTGAACAGCATGCTGAGATTGCCTTTCTGTTCTCTACCTCCAACGCGATACTCTCCACGCCAGAACTGGTAAACCGTTGTCATTAGCAACATCCCGTATGCCAACATGTCAAAATACATAGTCTGAAGTAATAAACAACAAATTGTGTCATACTTGCCTGATCGTGATTGAAGACATCTCAATGGCAATTTAATTATCAACATTATTTTTTGTCCAATAACATTGCCGTATTTTTCAAATTTCTGCTTAGTCTAACTTTGGTTTATTTGTACTAACTAAATAAAATTTAATTAATCAGTCGTCTAACCAGTCTAACTATAAGCAGTTTAGAGAAATGCTTTTTTCTGATTGAAAAATAATGTTGATCATTAAATAGGTTAATGTTTAATAATATACGTTAACAAAAATAATTGGTTGTGTGTCTGCGGCATGCTTGACCAATTTATTTTTGTTAATAGTATTATTAAACACTAACCTATGCATAGTAGTTTACAATATTCCTAACAAAATATTCATTGAAGTAACATTATGTCCAACTATATGTATATAGTGAGTGAACAGGTTAAAGAAAAAATAAGTTTACATTTTGGCAAATTTGTCAAATTAAATTCCTTTCAATTTTATAATTTACTTCCTATGAACAATAATAACTCACAAGAGTCAGACCAAAGGAATTTTCTATAAATAACCATGCCGACTTTATCTGTAAATATTCAATAAATATAAAAAGACTGGGGCAGCCTTTTTATATTTCAGGCAGACCTATATTTCAACTGAGATAATCATTTTTTTCCAAAATCAACTGTTGGGTCAAGCAACATTATTACATTCAATCTTATAAATATATATTCAATTTAGCTCGACTTGACAATGAAAATATGAGCATAATGTCACTTTAATTCAAAGCAATCACCTGTAATGTCATAAAACCAAATATGATATCAACCAGTGATTTTTCTCACTTAATGGCAAAACTTCAGCAGGCTAGCATAATCTTATATATTATAATTTAAATTATGTCTTTTATCTATCACAGTTAAATCCGTAATCATTTTAGTGCATATATAATTATGTCTAAAACGTTTACCTTCTCCGTAAGTTTGCTGTCTTGCTGGAAGTATGTGTATATCAAAAATGTCAATAGCAGCAAACTACTCTGAAAGAATTATAATTATACATGAAAATTTGTAAATTTAGTTTTCCTTTTAAAACACATTATTAAACTGGAAATCTAAAACTGTCAATGAATCTTAAACTGCTAACAAATAATTTGTTTCTTTCATAATCTTAAATTTTTTGTCAAAAGTAAGCATTTCTTATTATTTTAAAAGAATTTAACAAATTGATAGATTAATAAGAAAGGCACAGAAATAAATAAAGAATGGATATGGCTTTGTAGACAAGAGACCTATTTGTAAACATAAATGTAATTCTGAAATTTCAAGTAACGGCTTACAATAAGTCTTGACCAAAGATTGACCCCGATCACATTTTCATCTCTCGTCTTTCTCGTCAAGTACCAAAGTGCTCCCACTCCTACGAGGACTGAAGCAAATACCCGGGTAATGTAACACATCATTGCACTTTCACTTCCTGGAAACTAAAAATAAAATATTCTGTTAAAATTAACATAGAGACTGAGTACAGATAAATTTATCACAATAAATTAAACAAAGTATGAATTAGCTTTTAACCTGTAGCTTGCTAGAATCTACCCATGTGACTAGTGTTGAGTCCAGGCGGCATGTATCAGCGATTAAGACGGCATATTTGTGCCAATTGATCATGGTCTGAATATTTGCTATTCAGACAGTACATATTTGGAAACTTTCCATACATATGATGATGAATGATCTTGACCATAACTTAAGAATAAGGTTGGCAAAACCATAATTTAAGATATTTTATTATTTAACTTGTTTGAAAATCTTTGGATTTAATCCCTCACTCTGTTTTCCTTGAATGTTTACTGGGTAAAATCTGTGTATTTCAATTCGATTCTGATCAACTTTTTCATACTTGTCCATTTTAAGTGTAAATACTGTTTTCAAATGAAAATTGAAACATGTTGAAAAACATGTTTTATTTGATGAACATAATCAACATTGCAGTTTCCTAATCTGCTGTCATTATCATTAAACCCCCTCTTTTGTGAAATATGATTGAGACTCTTCACCCTCTATTTTTTTATTCTTTGTTTCACATAAATGAAGGTGAATCATGTGAGATGTATGATGGTGATCAAAAATATTTATTGATTTAGCATATTTTTGATTAATACATTTATGTATTATAAATTTTAAACCTAACAAAATAGAAATATTTTTTGTTTTCCAAAATAAGTACACAATGATATTATTGAAAAAGCTAATAAATATGATTATTAATGTAACTAGACCTATCACTGAAGGTGATTAATACCCCCACCAGCAACTTTGACTCTTGAACAATAAGTTGTCTGAAGAAAAATTTGAAATAAACCTACAGTAAATAAAGTACCATCAGCACTGTGTACAAAGAATTATTTCAATTTATTGCAATCCCAACTATCTTGATCTTGATATAAGCTTGTTATACACCAAGTTTGATAATAATATCTCATTCCTAACCCTAGTAATTGTCTGGAAACCATTTTTCTACTTTTAGTAACTGTGACCTTGAACCCAGGGAGTCCAAATGCAATACCAAGTGCGGTCTTCATGTAAGCTTTCTAAACACCAAGTTTGATTACAATATATGATTCCTAACTTTAGTTATTGTCCGGAAACCATTTTTCTATTTTTAGTAATGGTGACCTTGACCTTGGCCCAAGGGGGGTCCAGATGCAATACCAACCTATGTCTTCATATAAGTTTGCTATATACCAAGTTTGATTACAATATCTCATTCCTAACTTTAGTTATTGTCCGGAAACCATTTTTCTATTTTTAGTAACGGTGACCTTGACCTTGGCCCCAGGGGGTCCAGATGCAATACCAACCGGGGTCTTCATATAAGCTTGCTATATACCAAGTTTGATTACAATATCTCATTCCTAACTTTAGTTATTGTCCGGAAACCATTTTTCTATTTTTAGTAACGGTGACCTTGACCTTGGCCCCAGGGGGTCCAGATGCAATACCAACAGGGGTCTTCATATAAGCTTGCTATATACCAAGTTTGATTACAATATCTCATTCCTAACTTTAGTTATTGTCCAGAAACCATTTTTCTATTTTTAGTAACGGTGACCTTGACCTTGGCCCCAGGGGGTCCAGATGCAATACCAACAGGGGTCTTCATATAAGCTTGCTGTACACCAAGTTTGATTACAATATCTCATTCCTAACTTTAGTTATTGTCCGGAAACCATTTTTCTATTTTTAGTAACGGTGACCTTGACCTTGGCCCCAGGGGGTCCAGATGCAATACCAACCGGGGTCTTCATATAAGCTTGCTGTACACCAAGTTTGATTACAATATCTCATTCCTAACTTTAGTTATTGTCCGGAAACCATTTTTCTATTTTTAGTAACGGTGACCTTGACCTTGGCCCCAGGGGGTCCAGATGCAATACCAACCGGGGTCTTCATATAAGCTTGCTATATACCAAGTTTGATTACAATATCTCATTCCTAACTTTAGTTATTGTCCGGAAACCATTTTTCTATTTTTAGTAACGGTGACCTTGACCTTGGCCCCAGGGGGTCCAGATGCAATACCAACCGGGGTTTTCATATAAGCTTGCTATATACCAAGTTTGATTACAATACCTCACTCCAAACTCTAGTTATCGTCTGGAAACCATGATGTGGACCGACCGACGGACCGACCGACAAGCTGACTCCTATATACCCCCCCTAAACTTCGTTTGTGGGGGTATAATGATTTTTATCTTTCTGTAATGTTATTATAATTTTGAAATTACAATGAAATTAAATTTTTTATCAATCATTTTAAGGGTTAAATTGTTTTTTTTTTTTCAATAACACTTTAATCCCTTTTACTTTGACATGTACCTTGAGAGAGTGTAGGACAAAAGCCCCACCCCCCCCCATCTAAAAATGACAAGGTGGACAAAAGCCCCCATGAAATTTACACATAGGACAAAAGCCCCCCATCAAAAATACAGGTAGGACAAAAGCCCCCCCCCCCCTCCATCAAACAAAAGCCCCCCTAAGGTTTATCATCCAGACTGACTACTATCTTTTTCAGTTTGTTTTTTTCCTCAGAAAACGGCACCGTTACCAATAGAAAATAGACAACATATTTTCCAATTCATGACTGATAAATTCCCAAAATAACACTGAAAATTTCCTCAAAAATCGGCAAATTTAAAGGTAAACAAAACAGAAATGCCATTGACAAGACTTAGTGATATATGAGATAAAAACCAAGTATAACCACATGAGTGACATTCCTACCCGGTTAATTTCCTACTTTTAGTTCCACACCTAATATTATTTATGTACAATTGTTATAACTATCAATTTTTTTTTTCAACCTCAAGTAGCAAAAATAATCATTTAAGTTAATAATACATGGTTTTAAAGAGTATATTATGCATAATTTTTATGTGTCCCTGGATAAAAGTAATTCCCAAAGAATATTTTGCATCCTATGTAAAATTCTCAATTTGAGTCAAACCGATGGATTTTTTTCCCAATCTGTCCGGTACCGGCACCATTCCCAAAGTAGGGAAAAAAAACACTGTATTTTTTCACACGCTCAGTGTTAGGGAACTTGGGTTCTACTTCAAATAATTCTAAACTGGTATGGGCCTGTAACTTTTATTTCCTTGATAAGCGTTAATAAGCTATTCTCTGAAAATACACATTCATATCATCAATTAATTATATACGAATTACACAATAAATCTAATTAGAACTTTTGTAACATTAAATTTAAATTTTAATGTAAATTATCTTTTAAAACAATTGCATTTATTTGTTAAATTAAACATACCGACTTTGACTTGTATCATCACATCAAGTTCCAGATTTAAACTGACAAGATTCTCAATAACAATTGTGTGAGGCACTGGGGGGGGGGGGGGGGCTTTTGTTCTACCTGTATTTTTTATGGGGACTTTTGTCCTATGTGTAAATTTCATGGGGGGCTTTTGTCCACCTTGTCATTATTGAATTATAAACTTCTTAAAAATATTGGATGAGCTGGGGAATGTCTCACTGATTTTGGGTAAATGGGGGGTGAAATGTCTTCAAGAGTGAAGTGTCTGGGGGTCTAATGTCTTGTTTCCTTACTGATTTGGGGAGGGGTGAAGAGAAATGGGTAGTCAGACTATTCTCTCCCTTACCAGTTCCTCCCCTGACGTTTCCTCCATGACTGTTCTTTCCCTATTTTGGAGGAGAACTGTCTGCATATTTGTAGACATTCATTTGAAACAATATATAAGGCCAAATAATTACAAAAATATTTAGTCCTCAACATCTTTTCACAGCTATTTTAATCTAATCAACACCTTGATTCTTGAGTAATGAATAAATAAACACCTTAATTATCTCTGACAGCAAACTTAATAACGCACATATTATACACCTTTCTTCATTATACAAAAATATGAAATTTGGGTATTAAAATGCATTAATTAATCATTTTTTCTTATAAATTTTATTCTTATTTATCAAAAAAATAAATTAAATTAATACAACACAATATATATAATACCTAATGATTAATATGATTATCCTAATCAAGTAATTATTCATCTTAATTATTTTCAATAACTAAACACATTAAAAAGTATACATTAAATCTAATTTAAAACAAGCAATTATCATAGTATTGCAAGCAATCCATAAGTCCCCTACCGGTAAGAGCCCAAGCAACATTCTGAAGGGCCATTGGCCATTCACTTATGTTCCTATTTTAAGTAAATTTGTTGAAAAAGTTCTTTTAAAGTGATCACAGGAAACAGTTTTTATGTACAGACAGACGGACTGAAGGACACTCTAAAGTTATTTTTTAAACATCCCTGTTATCAAAATATAACATTTTTAAAATCCTATGATTGAAGAAGTTGGAGTAAAAATTACCAATTTCTCGAAAAAAGAGTCTAAGTTCAAAAGGGGCATAATTCTGGAAATAGTCTTGCTAGAGTATTGAACACTCACAAATGTTGAGTGATAATAAGAAACATTATATGAAGTTTGAAGTAGATACATTCAGAAAAAGAAGTTATTAAAAAAAAAAAACAATGTTTTTTTCATGAAAATTTTAAGTTCAAGGGAGGTAATTCTCATAAATTTTGTGCTAGAGTTGTAAACCTTGTCACATATGATGTGGTTGATGACAAGCAACTTATATTTAAAGTTTGAAGAAAATACCTTAAGAAATAAAGAACTTATAGTGAAAAAACTTAAAACTAGAATCAGAAATCTTGAAATTCAGTATATTTGTTGCCATAGCAACCAGAATTTTCAACACAGGAAGATAAGAAAAGGATGTGCATAATTTCTATACTGCCATCTACCCATATGTCAAGTTTCATAAACATATTTTCAGTACTTTTTGTGTTATCACTGGATCCAGGTTATGTGTAAAATTTGCCATATTTTCAGTCTATTTGTTGCCATAGCAACCAGAATTTTCAACATAGGAAGAAAAGAAAAAGGCGTGCATAATCTCCATACTGCCATCTATCCATATATCAAGTTTCATTAAAATATTTTCAGTACTTTTTGCGTTATCGCGGGATCCAGTTTTGCGGACGGACGGACTGACGGACGGACTGACGGACGGACGGACGGAGGGTAAACCTAAAGTCCCCTCCGGTAAACCGGTAGGGGACTAAAAATCAGAATAATTAATCATTATGCTAAAACATTTTCTTTTCTAATTTATATCAACTTACCCATATATTAAACATCTTAATACTTCGATGATTTTTTTTCTAATTTATATCAATAATAATTTATCAATTTTTTAAACATCTTAATACGTTCGTAATTTTTTTTTTTGTAATTTTTATCTGTTTATAATTAACTTACCAATTTGTCTAACATGTAAATATATCAATACAATATTTTTTCTCTCCCATTTTTATCAATTAATAATAAACTTACCCATTTATTCCAAAGGACCCGGCACAGTGTTGGGATAGTGTAAAAAAGTAATTCTAGAAAAAAAATTATACTTTATATATAATATATAGACAAGGGGTTGAACTCGCCAAATCGGCCGAACGCCCCTAGTCCAGTATAAGTCAAAATTGCAAAGTCATTCTTGCGTAAATCATATAAAGCTATATATCAAAATGCAGCTAAATGACATCACTAGACGTTGACAATAACATTACTGTCCCAACTTAAACCGTTTTTGAACAACAAACCGATATTTCGGATGACACATCGTATTTTTGCTAGGTCGGACAAAACCGTGCAACCTGTCAACACTCGATTTTCTACGTGTAAAAACGCAATTCCAAACCATGACATTATATCAACCCGCAATAAATCGATAATACAAAACAAAAGAAACAACTTACCACCGGAAATTGATTTTAAAATGTTTTATAGCGTCTGTAAACAATTAATTCCTGAATGTGAAAATGAAAGTTGTAATCAGCATCCATTTGCTATCACGTGACCAATTTGAAACGGATTATTTCATTGGTTGATTAAAATACAAAGCATTGCTGGGTCACAGAATCGTCCAATCAAACGATGTCTTACAACCGTTGCCGAGTATGTATCATGGCTTCAAAAAAATATTTTGTCGAAAGAGAAATAAAAAGAAATGAATGTTTGCTATAATTGATTGGTTTCGGAACAATTTCCAGCGGTAAGTTGTTTATTTTGTTTTGTTTTATCGATTTATTGCGGGTTGGTATAATGACATGGTCTGGAATTGCGTTTTTACACGTAGAAAATCGAGTGTTGACAGGTTGCACGGTTTTGTCCGACCTAGCAAAAATACGATATTTCATCCGAAATATCGGTTTGTTATTCAAAAACTGTTTAAGTGGGGACAGTAATGTTATTGTCAAAGTCTATTATTATTATTATTATTATATACCACATTTCTATAGCACTCTTTTCATAAATAATAAATGTTCAAGAGTGCTTTACATAAATCCGATAAAACATAATCATATATATATATATAAGACATAATGTACAACATTAATTAAGTAAACCTATTAAACAATAATGATAATCTAAAACCAGTAAAGGATGGTTAGAAATACAGACACATTTAGTTTAAAATCAAGGCACAATTAAAATTAACACTGATAATATAGCAAAAGTAGTACATGTATGATGATTTATGAACTAACGTCCATAGAACTTTATGAAATAATGTGTTTTGAGAGCTCTCTTAAAACATGGCAAGGTATTACAGTCTCTAACGTCAGGTGGTAACGCGTTCCATAATTTCGCTGCGGCTGTCTGGAAGCACCTGTCACCATATCGTACTGTCCTAGATTTAGGCACAACTAATGTCATTGAGTTATTCTGGGACCTCAGATTTCTGACTGGGATGTACACGTCTATCATGTCTTTTATATAGGCTGGTGATTGATCGATGAGGGATTTATATGTATAAGTCAAAATTTTATGTTCGACCCGATACTCTATCGGAAGCCAGTGAAGTTCACGTAAGATAGGTGTTATGTGGTCATATTTGAGTGTTTTGGTCACAATTCTTGCTGCTGTATTTTGAACATGTTGTAACTTGGTCATTGACTGCTTAGAGACTCCATATAACAGTGCATTACAGTAGTCTAACCTAGAAGTAACAAGTGAATTTACTAGAGATTTGGTTGCTAGTGTTGTCATTTACCTGCAATTTGATATATAGCTTTATATAATTTACGCAAGAATGACTTTGCAATTTTGACTTATACTGGACTAGGGGCATTCGGCCGATTTGGCGAGTTCAACCCCTTGTCTATATATTATATATACAATATATTTTTTTTTCTAAATTACTTTCTTACACTATCCCAACACTGTGCTGGGTCCCTGTGATTTATTTAACTTCTACAATAATTATAGATCTACTTCAATTTAAAAATCTTTTTTTCTAATTCATATCAATTTATATTTAACTTACCCATTATTTAATATCTAAATACTTCAATTATAATGCATTTATGAAATTACAATTGTCTTGTTCCCACCTGAATAACCCTAGCAGCTTCCGTGGAGTTCTTCTTATCAGTTCAGAACAGTGTAAGAAATTCGGATTTGAAACCACTAGGCTGGTAGGACTACCAGATTGGAATATTCAATAGCCCAAAAGACATTTCACTAGCACGATTCAAACAGTTGTATATATTGCCTCTGAAAATACAGTAGTCTGGTTGGGCTTGTTACTTTGAAATGTTGGTAGCCCGAGGAGAATTTTAGTAGTCAGGGGCTATAGGACTAGTGCTAATTTCGAACACTGCAGAATGGTGATATTCTTATTTACTGTTTACATTTTGATTAAAATAGACATCATTTCTAGATAAAAAATGAAGGTGGACTTTACTAACCAACATTCCTGGAAAAAAGAAAAGACCCAACGCATAGGCACCCCATAGCACGGAATCTCCCCAAATCCATGATTTTCTATCTTGTTGGGCGGAATACCCTAAACCTATCACCAATGCCGCAGCACGAATGAAGTCGTATGCATTCGCCATATCTCTAGAATCTTTAACGAAAGGTAAAAATATCAAAAATACGATATTATTGTTGTTGAAATTGGCGGACAGACTGTCATCAAAAACTATTATTTGATTTTAGTTAATAACGGTTTTAGGTTACAAGTTGTAAACCAGTCACGAAAAGCGCCGTCTTTCGGACGCATCTCATTTGTAAAGGGGAAGCTACTCGATTTTACAAAATAGTACACTCCCCTAGGGTGTGCCTAAAATACGTAAAGTGGCGTAAAGAGGCGTAAAGTGGCGTAAAGTGGCGTAAAGTAAATGACAACCGGCGTAAAGTGGGGAAAAACTGGTATCTGGCGTCAAATCGACAAACTCTTTCAATATTTAACTACATACCTATTATACTGATATTTCTGTGGGGTTTAATGTGTTGAAAAAGTAAAAAGGGAATGTACATTCACGATATATAATAATAAAAATATGTCAATGTCTTCATACTTAATTATTTAAAGTGCACTTTTATATATATTTCTTCCAGAGTACTACCTTTCTGTCTTTTTATTTTCAATTTTCTTAATGAACGAGCTTTATGTACAAATAATTTCCGTGGCGTATCAAATAATATCCGTGGCGTCACAAATAATATCTGTGGCGTAAAGTGGATTGAAACCACATGAAAAGGTATTTCGTCCCTTCCAATGGGTCTATATTTTATATAATAAACATGATTTGTGTTTACCCTAATTTCAGATAATAATTATTTATTTTCATTCAACTTAAAAACACAATATCGTGAAGTATATGGAAACTGGTGAAAAGTGGATTGTAAATTGAAGACTTGCGTGTTGAGAACGTACGTTAATCTATAAATCTGTCCAATAAATAGTGAATATTTGTAAGGTTTGAGAGAAATTAACATATTTACAAACCCATTTTCTTTTTATCTAATGCCTTAAATGTGAAGAAAAAGGTTACCTAGTGTTTTTATCAAGGCGCGCGAAATAAGCGCACGTAAAGTAGACGTCAGCATAAAATAAATGCATTTGAAAGACTAACTGGTAATGCTTTGCGAAATTTGTGAAAAGAGAACATTGGAGGATGTATATCATTTCATTTTGTAGTGTGACGTATTCAAGGAATACGAAAACGATATATTCCAAGTTACTATATTAAAATACCTAATATGATTAAATATGTTCAGTTCAGTTATGGGTGTCAAGTGAATATACATCTTATTTATCTATTGTCCCTTAATAAATAAGTTTTTAATCAAATCCATTTACTGCATTCTGCGTAAAGTAAAATTTCTGAATTGTGGATGGAATCCGGCGCAGAACGTCGGGAATAAAAAAATATTAATCTAATTCTCCTTTTTATATATAAATGAATATTTAATGTAGAAAATGTATCTTGACATAAAATAGTTCTTAATGTAACCCGTTGTTTTTATCAATGCAAACTTCTTTAATTTATTTTGATTAAATGTGTTGACGCCTTTTCTGATGCAGAGGCATTTTTTTACCCAATCGTTTTATGGATGAAGTGAACCTTAAAAGGATAAAATTATTAATTGTGAAAATTAGTGTCAGTGAACAATTATATTCTAAAATCAATCACTTTAAAATTCATTATACTAATTCCTTTATACAGATTTATTATTAGTTGCGAGTACGTGACTTAAAGTCAGCTTTAAAATCATAGAATTTGGCTCAAATGTTACCTAAATAGTACACTTTGTAGTGTTTAACGGCCCACACAGTAACATTATGGATCTATCGAATTCAAACATGTTTATCATTTGTCCCTTGGCGCCAGCATTTAGTAAGACAGTCATTCAAATCAATTATTTAATTATGCACCAGTTGCGCAAAAGTCCATTGCTAATATGACAGATCTGAAACATTCAAACGAATCTTCAGTCCAGAAAACGGTTCTCTTTATATTTCTAAATACAAACTTGTATAATCAGTTCAATGAAAACAAACGCTTTTCTTTCGCTTTCGACGTTCAGTCTTCTTCAGAAAAAATTGACGTTTATAAAATAACAAATGACGCAACGTCCGCTTAACTATACGCTAAACAAATTAAAATCTGCTAACATATTTAACTATATTTTGTTTGATTTGGGTTTTACGTCACACCGACATAGTATAGCTTTACTGGTGAAGGAAGACCACAGCGGTGAGGGGCAAGTGGTTTGAAGTCAACGACCTTAACCACTCGGCCACGGACGTCCCTTAAATATATTTAATTAATGGATTGTATTTTGTAATACGATGTATTTTGTACAAATCTGAAAATAAAGTTTCTTTTCTGTTCTGTTTTGTTAGCGCGGAAATAAAAAAACTTTGTCAAATAAATACAGAATCTTTCATGAACATAAATACAGCAATTTACAATAAATTACAATGGACCTGCACATGTGATACAAAAATTCTCATATTTTTTTATCGTAACGATTTTTTAACGCAAACTTGGTAATATGACTTCTCATAAAGTGCAATTACATTTATTTAAATTTTCATTTTCAGAACATGTCCTCTTAAGTTTCAGAGCACCACTAAATATACTGATCTTGTGTCAGCTAAAAACGTTGAATTGATCATTATAAAGTATGTATGTAAGGATTAGGTTGGGGTCTTTTTTTTTAATGGTGCCGTTTATATAAAATTATGACCCGGTCAAACATCGACCGAGGAGACATTATTCTATATAAAATATTGTCTAGGAATCATTATTTTAATCAAAATGTTGGCCGGTGAGTCATTATTTTATAGGTGGTAACGCAATAGTATTTTCTTTCTGTATATATACTCAATAAAATCTCTAATTAGTCACGCAATTTTAACGGCCTCACATAAATAAATAATAGAATAATATAAAAAATAAAATAAAATAAAATAAAATAAAACGAAATGAAATGAAATGAAATGAATGATGGGATTCCTAAAATATCAGAATTTGAAATTTGCCAGTAACATTGCATAAATTGTGTAATGATTTTATTGCCTCTTTATTTCATATGATTGTCTCATTATTCACATATTATTGGATATCAATAGCTTTTAAGAACCGTCGTGTCAGGTTGACACGGACACCCCTACCTGCCTATAACAACATCCTGCACGTTACCCAGGTAAGTACAAGGCTACCTGTCACTGATGGACCAAGGTGTATGCAATGTCACCTGGATTAATGCCGATAATCCTTGTTACTTGACAAATACATGACAAATACACAGAATGCCACTTTTTTACGCAGATGCTATATAATGTAGACAAAACATTGAAATAAAATCACTCTTTTCTGATATATACAAAGTGCGTTTTTTGTTAGTTCTCATACTAATAATTATTGACATTCAAAAATATTTTGCTTAAAGTTTGTGGAATTTAAATTATCTTACTCAGTGTATTTAAACCATTCAATCAATTGGAAAAAATGGGACGTTCGAGACGTATTAAGCCCCAGTTTCCATGCGGGAGGTGCCGAACTGAGTGTGAAGATACTAACTGCCTATGTTGTGAGGTTAGTCATTTTAATAGGTCTAAATATTTTTTCTTACGTGGGCCAAACCTTTTGAAATGCCATTTTGAATTGCGAGAATGATGCTTCTGTCAGTATTTCTAGTAACGGAAAGCTCATCTGTCTGCTACAGATTACGCATGTACAAACAGACATCATCAGAAAGGAATGTGACGTTTTTTAATTGCAAATACAAAAAAGTAGCCAGAAGAGCTGTTATAAATTCATGTAAAAATATTTAGAGAGGTCTACAGACCATAAGCAACAGGAAGAATATGCAAGAAAATACATATCAGGAATATAATTAGATATTGCGCGCCTCCATTCTAAACAACTTATAGTATATTTTGGCGGGAAATTTGAACGTGCGTGTATTAATGTCTGCAAGATAAATAAGGAAGATATAAATGATAATGATACTGTTACAACATTTTATTCATTCACTCATTCATTCATTATTTATTTGAAACCTACAATTTAAACCAAGAAAATTTCCTCTTTGTCAAAATTTGTCAAAATTTATTTATTTATTTATTTATTTATTTATTTATTTATTTATTTATTTATTTATTTATTTATTTATTTATTTATTTATTTATTTATTTATTTATTTATTTATTTATTTATTTATTTATTTATTTATTCATTTATTTATTCATTTATTTATTCGAAACCAAGAAAATTTCCTCTTTGTCAAAATTTGTCAAAAAGTCAGAACAATGTGAACAATTTCAGAGAAATGTTGCATGATTTTTATTTAAAAGTATGTTCTTTATTCAAGTCTGTAGAACATCTAGGCATTAATCTTAATATCTCACAGATAGGTGTTGAAAAGATTGATAAACCTGTGTGCAAGAAAATACATAAAAACATGCTTAAGAACATATCAGGAATATTATTAGATATTGCTAGCCTCATTCTACACAACTTTACGCATTTTGGCGGGAAATTTGCACTCTTAATGTCTGCAAGATTAATAAGGAAGATATACGAGGGCTGTTCAAAAAGTTCGTGGACTGCGGCTCTACTGTTGACATTTTTTTAATTTGCGTATATGATTTTACAAGAGACATATACGAAAATATGTCCTTATTAACAGTGAAAAAATCAATACAATATGTTTACAAATAACAATTCTGTGACAGTTACAAATCACAAGGGGTGCACAATCCGGCGCACGCTGATGACAAAACAAAATGACGTTCGTGACGTCGCAATATTAATGAAACATTTTACCAGCGTCATTGTTTCTGAAAGTACTCTTTTTAGTGTTCAATATCTGCGGATCATATACCAAAACCATTTTTCTGTTTGTGATGATGACCCGAGACCTAAAGTGGTCATCTTTTTTGCTCCATTCTCCGTATAAAGGTCCGAGTGCCGCATACTTTCCGCTCTTGATCGGAATTTTTGAGTAATTTCGACACTTAACGGACAGTGTTATAAAGTTAATTCAATTGTTGATTTATAGTATCAATTTGAAACCGCCCTCGTCCGATCTTTAAACAATATGATTATCAATGATAAAGAAAAACATTTTATCAACTGATAATTATTCTATGCGGTAAATCTACTGAACACCGGTTAGCATTAATTATCAAACGGACCAGGGTAAATACACG